AGGGGCTCCTGGCCTTACTACTAGGGGCAAGAAGCTACTAGTAACAAGATGTTTCAGTGACCGTTAAGCATCAGTTCCTTTGGACCTTCGAACTGTTGCACCGATAGGACCCACAGTGCCCATGTGGCACAGGGCTCAAAGAAGCGCTGCCAACAGACCGAATCAAGTGGAGTTATGCTTAGTCTTAGTGTTTCACATGGTTTGGCAACTTGCTTCAACCTCCTTGCTGATCCCCTTCTTGCACGGAACCTCTCTTTCTCCAGAAATTACACACTGTGTTAAGAAAAATCATTGAGACATAATTTCTTTGCGGTCTCCTGTTGCGATTGCTGACTATGGTGTGGTCATGGCCTTGGCTTGCACTGTCCGGTGATGGCGAGAGTGGTCACGTGGCCCCTTCGGAGTGTCGTTTTCAGGTTTGTGCGTTTGCAATATGCGAATTCTTGTGCTCTCCAAAGCACTACTAGAAGCAAATAGCTACTAGTAGCGTCCTTGCTCCCAGTAGCGATGCCCGGGTTCCTAGTAGCGATGCCAGGAGCTACTAGTAGCATTCTTGTGCTCAAAGTACAATCTGGATATGCCCAGGCGAGGTTGTGGAGTTTTTCGAAGAAGCTCCAGCCACGCCACCCTTCGAACTATTGCACGCCGATGAGGAGGACCAATCGAGCTCAATGCGAATGCCGGGAGTGTTGTCACAGTTGATGTCCATTACAGTTACTGATCTAATGCTGATCATGAATGACCATGCATGGTCATGCGTAGCATTGCGTAATGGCGTGGCCAAGAACAGCAGTCCAGCCATGCTGCATTAAAGACACTGTTGCACGTGCAAGTTTCAGGCTTTGTGGACCGAACTCCACAGACTATGCGGGATATTAATATGATATATATGATATATATATATATATGTGTTTCGTTGGGGTCAGAGAAATCTCCTCACGTGGATCTCCGAATGGCTCGGAATGGCTCCTGTCCTGGCTCGGATCCGTTTGACTCTTCCCTTCGGATCCTTCGGAAGTGCTCGGTGTCGAGGAGCTCCAGATTGCTGTGGTGCGTGGTTTTCTGTCTGCTAAAGAGGCCAGGCCCCATGAGTGGTGAACCATGGTGAACCACTTTCTGAATGCATACTGTAGCGGATAGAACAAATGACTCCAAACGGCTTGGAGTTCGAAGGAAAGGACGATTGAAGGTGAACGTTTTCGTGACCTGACCTGAGGTGGAGGATGTGGCCCAGATGAAGCAGCACTTTTGTTTGAAGGCTGGCGGGCAAGATGCCTGTCGTGCTGTCCTTCCACAGTGACATGTCAAGAAAGGAGATTGATGGAGATTGCATGAGATTGCTATAAAAGCTTTTTTTCATCATATAAGAGCTGCATTGCTTTCGATGACTGCAGGTTGCCGTGTTTGATGTCCCCTCATTTGCTACGATAAAGCACTTGAGAGGAAATTGATGATCGTGATGATGAGCTGGTTTACCGACATGAAGTTTGGAGGATGGAAAGCGAACTGAAGGAGCCTGTAGAATCACTGTAGAACATCAACTTAAGGGACAGAAAACCAAAGTTCGCAAAGCCCTGCACGTGCCAAACAATTTTTGTTGACCAACCAGCTTTGTCATGCTTGCGAAGCGCTTGGCGCTTGGCTGCCGAGCTTGCAGGAGGCACTTCCTCATATTTATGATAGGCTTATGGACCATTGCAGGCTCGGGGACCTACGGAGAAGACTTTTCTAGAGGTGTTGTGATGCTTTTTCGAGCTGTTTTGCTTAGGCCCCGTTTTCATACTCATTTGGGCGGCTTGCATTAAACATCATTAAATTGTGGTTTCCTATCATAGTATTGAAAACTTTGAGACTTTGTTGCTTCCTGATATCTGGGAAAGTACGATGGCTTTGTCAAGTGATAGAGGCTCAAGTATACATCGGCATAGTATATTGGAGACGGTTGGACATTGCACCGATGGTGGTTTCCAGTGTTTTCTCCAGGGCCCTTGATGCAGAGCTTTGGAATGAGATTGACATTGGCGATCGCTTCTTTCCGGAGATCGAGCCCTGTATTCGCACTTGGTTGTGTATGCTTTGCAACTGACTCTGCGCAAGAGCCTTGAACTACTTGGCCCATCTTGGCCCTATATAATACCAACGAATCGTGCGCGGAAGAAATAGTGTTGTTGGCTGTGTAAGTCCGTGGGACCGGCTTCGCTCCAAGGTACATTGTGTATGATGTGTCTCGACTGGGGGAACCTGGCAGGATTGAACCACACACAGACAACCAGTCACAGGCCGCTGGCTGCCAGTCCGGAGACTTTCGCAGCATTTGATGCCTGATTTCAAATTCACTTGGAATCAGAAGTAGCAGTGAGTGCACTAGATTATGCCAACCTCGTGCTTGGCTCCTCTAGAATCAACTCGCAGGTGACTGTCGTGGTGATGTTGTCCCACGAAAGCGAATTCCAGGGTGGACTCAATTACTTTGAACCTGGTACTGAACGCGGTGTTTCTTGGCAACAAGCTGTCCGGAGATGCACGGTGCGATGTCCAGGGTTGGTTTTAAAAAGATTTAAAACGCATTAAAAGGCATCAAGGCCACATGTCATTCTGCTGGCCATCCTATGCAACATTAGAGATGCTATGTAAGATACTACTTTCATGTATGTGACCGATTCCTGTTATATAGTAGATTCCAGCGGTGTTGTGCAAAAACCTGATGACTCATCCTTGAATTCGTGGGGAATTGCTTTCAGGAGAGCCGGAGTGCCAAACTCAAGCGAGGCGGGGTATTTTGCCGAGCGTAACATAATTACCTGCTTCTACCGAGTTATTGTTCCTTTTTAATCCTTGTTTCTTGAATGTCCTTGACATGGCAGCTATCCGTCTTAAGCCGTTCGATGCCGCGTGGGGTTTGGGCTTGACCACGTGAGTGCCAGGGGACGCTGTCTTCTTCTACGGTGACCGATGTGAACATTGGATCTCGCCAGTCGTGTCTGGCCGGAGGACGATCCTTCAGATGGAGTCTTGTTGAACAATATTCCGCGGGAAAAAGATTGCTGGTGTACATAGTATGTTGATTCTCGCGTTGTATCATTATTCCTCTAGTCTAATCAGAAAGCACAGCCAAATAGCCCAACAAAGGATCAGTTCAGATTCCAACCACATTCCATCATTTTCTTTAAGTACTGTAAAGAGCAAGTAGCTACTAGTAACAAGTGCATCGCTTCTAGTAACAAGTGCCTTACTAGTAGTAACAAAAACGCTACTAGGAACCAAATCATTAGTGCGAGCGCTTCTTCAAGGAAGCTCCCCCCGCCCTCAGGGGGGGGGGAGCTTCCTTGAAGAAGCTATGCTGCATCCTAGCCAGGAGCTTCCTATTGCTAGTAGCGTGTTTACTCCCTACTTAATTAAGTAGGAGTGGGCTTTAACAAAAAAGTGTTCTTGTGTTTGGATGAACTGAGTCTTTGCATTGTCAAAAAGACTGACTGAGGAGCTGAGCCGTGGATGGCATCGTGGGCTGCTGGGATTCTTGGAGAACTGCTGCGGATGACTGGATAAGTCGGTGGAGAATCCACTGCGAACTTCTGAGCAGAGTCGGTTGGCACCGAAGCCAAGACATGCATTATTTGCTGTACACTTTTGATCACCGAGTCGATTGAAAGATGCAGGTGCGTCCTGAACATTCTAGGCTTCTCAGCTTCTCAGCCTCAAGGCTTGCTGTTTCCTCGAAGGGTGGGCCAAAGCAGCCTCCCTTCAGGATGAATCGCTGATTGCCTGAGTTGTAGGAAGAGAGGAGATCTTTGGTGCTTGTGTTCTTCTATGCCATCCATTGAAAGTTGAATTCAACTCTCTAACTCTGTAGAGAACTATACTATACTACATGCTGAAGTTGCGGAATCATGAACTTGCTTGTACCGAATGAGTGGATCCTCAAAGTTCAAAAACAAGGCACCCATTTAGCAGCGACAATCGCATGGCATGTGAAGTCTTCCGCATCAACGTCAACATAGTGTAGCACGAAATCTTCTTGAACACTTGATTAGATTAGTACAATGTCCACTGGCACAACAAATTTATATATCTATATACAGCACGAAACAACTTAGTATAACTTAGTAGGACCTTTCTGGAAATTTACTTGATCCATTTGTTCCAGAGGGTGCTGACTGCTGACTTTCTTAGACTTTGTTTTGTCCTTTAAGATGTGGTAACACAGCGAGCTAAGCAGCCCTTTGAATGTTATTCTCCTACCTCACTGCTACTTGTCGTAATTGCAATGGACTTGCTGAATCCGTCTGCAGGCCGACAGGGGGAAATCTAGAACATAATCAATAGATATCAATAGAACCTTTTCATCCCAAGCAGCATGGCTTTAGACCGGTTTGGGACAGTCATGGATGAGTGTTCCGGGATTGTAGGGATCTGAAATCTCACTCCACTGGCAGGCTTTCCGCGACTAGCCACAGATTTTGGAGATCAAACATTAGTTAAACCATAGGGGATGGAATTTCTTCTACAGAATCGCGGGGGTTGGGACCCCGATAAGACGATTTTTTTAGCCACTTTTTCTTGGCTCATATGGAGGTTGTAAAGTCCTGTCCTTCAAGATCCTCGATTTTATAGAGAATTGTTGTTTTTTACAAGTTTGATTCTATAGAGGCTTATAAGTATAGCGAAGGGATTCTGGATGTCTCAGGCATACTGATTCTATAGAGAATTATTAGCATGGTTTTGCATGTTAGGAACTGCAATTCTATAGAGACTGATGTTTTTTTCAATGCATCCAGTTCAAAACTCGCCTGATTCCGAGAGTACGCAATTGGGATTGCTCAAACGAACCCTGGGGAATGGGTTCTTGGAGGATCTTGGATGAGTCAGGATGACGCTAGCAAATTTGGAGCATCCTAGCAAGTGAACGCTTTATATGAAACACTTTGGAAAATCCTAATGCATCCTACCAACTGGCAAATCAATGCCTTCCAAGAAAGTTGCATTTTAATGTTTTTTGAGACCCCTGTACCTTGATTCTATAGAGAACCAGGTTCTTACTATATTTTTTTGAGACCCATGTACCTTGATTCTATAAAGAACCAGGTTCTTACTACAACTCAAGCACACCTGTTCAGGAGTACCTTGGGACCTGCATTTTTATAGACAAAAACCATCAATATTCACAACTTTCTACAGCTTTTGACAGACTGATGGCCCTCAATTCTATAGAGCTGAATCTTTGTTTTTGAACTCTTTTCCTATGTTATCCTCAATTTATAGGGTCAAAAAGTGACCCTCATTGGAGGGGGGTTGGTCCCAGCATTTTAGCACTATAAAATCGCTACCCCCGAGGTACCCACTTAATTCCAACCCCTATGTTAAACCAGAGATAAACAGAGATGAAGAGAAAAGAAGGCGCATTTGGGCCCTTCAATAAGGCACCCTGTAAAGGCGCCTGATTAAAGAGGCTGGAACAGCTTTTTCAATATCAGGTGCATTACTACTAGGAACAAGAAACTACTAGTAGCAAAGGGCATTACTAGTAGTAGCTCCTCTCTCCTAGTAACAAGGGCATTTCTACTAGTAACAAGAAACTACTAGTAACAAGGTGCATCGCTACTATATAGTAGCAAGGACGCTACGAACGTAGCTAAGTGCATTACTACTAGTAGCAAGAAGCTACTAGTAACAAGTGCATCGCTACTAGTAACAAGTGCCTTACTAGTAGTAACAAGAAGCTACTAGTAACAAGTGCATTACTACTAGTAACAAGATTTCCTGCTTAACACTGCGGTCGGGCCATGCCTCAGGACCGCAGGGACCGCAGGCGCGGGCCTCCTACACGAAGGTTCCAGGCAGGAACGACACTTGGTGTGGTGTTTCTCACAGACTCAGACCATTGTGGGACTGTGTTTTCGTACTCGGCTGACTAGCTGACAATCCGAGTGCCTTGAGATTGTGTGTCTTTGTGTGCAGATGATGGCAAGTTCTTCGAATGGGACTGGGATGCTTTTGCGCCGAGTTCAAACTTGAAAACTGTTTAACCTGAGAGTTTTGCACCGAGAATGGGAACCAGCCCCTGCATAATATTTCTGGTACCTCTGATGACTTCGTGTGATTCTTGTGTAAGAAAAGATAGAAAACCATCATGCAGGATTGTGGAGGTGTGGTTTCGCCAGCGTGATAGGAGTCCTTGGGAGAGCCTCTTTTCATTTTCAGCTACACAGCAATGGTTGTTGGCTGCTTGAACTGCAAGAAGCAGGAGTGAATTGTCTTGATTCCCATAGCTTGACAGAAAGCTCTTGGAGAGACATGTGGACGCCATGCTCTAAGGTCGACAGTGCCTGAATTGCAATGAGTGAATGAGTGTTTTTCCCAGGTGCAACATCTCACTCCGCTCCTGCATTACGCTGGTAGAGATTCAGTCCAGGTGTGTGGCCTTGTCATTGTTGGCACTGCAAGTCTTCTCCACGCGAAGCTTGTCTTGCAAGAAGTACGTGATTTTGCCTGGAGCATCAGAAAGCATACCTAACCTTGAACATAATGCTACCTGGAGATAGGACTATGGTATTGGTATTTGATCGAGAAGCCTCAGGAAGATTCTGAGAAGCCAATAAAGCTAGTGCGGGTTCTCACTTAATCAATTTGATGAGGTGTTCAGAAGATGCTGCAGCAAGGGGACGTGAAGAGCTACTTGATGGACTGCAATGAGGCTCACACAGCTATGGGACTTCTGGAGCAAGCATAGCAAACGAGGGCTCGATAGAGTACTCAACCTCCGAGTTTCGGGTATGATGGCATGAATGTACGTGCTGAACAAGAGTCACAAACCATCAAACCAGCGACATCCACCAACTCTCGACTTGAGGAAAGAGGATAGTGCGCCTGTTGGTGAGCTCGTCCCCCAAGAAAGGGGGAGGATGCTTACTACCCCCCTTCTTGCACAGAATAAAGGAAAGTTGCAAGCAAAGTGTGGTTGTTTGTGGAGGTGCAGGAAAAGAATTCCTGCGATCGGAGAGGTTGCAGATTTCGCTGTGCGGGAAGGGTTGCAGCATCTCCCTCCACTTAAACACACACCACTTTAAGAAGCCAGTGGAAAACAGCCAACAGTCGCCAACAAAAGCCATGAGAAGCTACCAACAGAAGTTACAAGAAACCACCGAAAGCCAACACAACCCACAAACCATCCGAAGCCCAGCTGGAAGATTATCACCATGTCTGCTTGTGGAGACCGGGTGAAGGAAAAGGCAAAGAAAGAAAACTATAGAAAACTTGTGTAGGCCGGTGACCGTTAAATCTTTGATTTCCTTGCAGGCAGGAGCCACCACAAGCCACTTGAAAATTTGTCACTGCATTTTCTGCCACATGACCTCTCAGGGTGGAGATCACTCGAGGTCAAGCAACTGCCACCATCCTCTCCCTCATGGAATCTTTTGTTTTGTTGGTTCAGCAGTCGGTGCTGGACCTCCCCCGACCCTTGCGGGACGATTATATACCTGCAAATTGAGAACTAAGAAGAAACAGTTTTCTTTTTTAAAGTACGGCTCCTCAAAGGGACCTTGTCAAAGGGGCCTAAACAGCCTAAGGGCCTAAACACATCCTTTTTACAATTCTTTTTTACGAGGTTTTCTTGATGATTACGTATTAGGCGCCATGAGTCTTGAGCATGACTGGGGGGGACATGTTTGTGCCTGGCCAGGAAGCGGTGAACTTTGCCCAGACCTGCATTTGTGAGTCGACCAAGGCTTTTGTGAGGTGCCTTGTGGAACTTTTCGCAGAGCCTGACACCTGGTTCCATATCATAGAAACCAAATCATTAGTGATATTAGTGCGAGCGTGAGCTATCCTGCGTCCAAGGTAGTAGCTTCCTAGGAGGTAGCTACTTAAGCTACTACCTCACCTCTACGGCCTACCCCCCCCTTTCTTAAATGAAGCTACTAGGAGCAAAGGGTATCGCTACGTACTAGGAGCAAAGGGCATCGCTACGTACTACGAGCAAGGACGCTACTAGGGGCTCCTGGCCTTACTACTAGTAACAAGGACGCTGCTAGGAGCAAGCTTTCAAGACATGGGAGGTTTGGGACTGGCGAGTCAGCCCATGCACAGCACCGGCAAGGTGCTTTGCTCCGGTCTCAATCATCGTGGCGCTGGTGGTCGCATCACAACTGGTTCTTTCCCAGCGCGTGTAGGAAACTCAGTCTGGCAAACATTGACCTTCCTATCGAACGCAGTACATATGGCAGTGGGTCAAGACCGGGGGACCTTGGTGTAGGGCTCCAGGCATTTGACCCACAGCCAAATCTAGATGATGATCAGAGATTTGACACAATTTTGATTGCCTTTCCGTCGACCAAACAGCGCTGTCGCTTGGTTGAAATGTCGCCTTTTATATTATCTACTTGAGTGATCAGGGCAGTCGAGGTTCTATGCAATGATCCGATCGGGGGTTCTGATCGACTTCAAAAACCTGTCTCCTATCAAGGACAATTGTGTATGTGGAGATTTTACTGATTTTTTCATGTTTTCAAATAGCATTTGTTCAACATCTACTGTGGAACTTGTCGAAGGGCTGTTGTGGAAACAACAGGATCCTCTGTTCTGGTGGGTGCTTTTGAATGGCGTACTGATCTTAGATTCTTTTCATTGCGCAGCTGCAGAGTTTGGAGGTGGTGATTGTAAGCCGCTGTATACCAGACAGTTCTATTTTTAACGATTGTATTGTCTGGTACCACGCGCAGAGTTGGTCCAAAACAAAGTTGTCCTTGCAATCTTTTCGGTGTAGGTTTGTGCTGGTTCAGGATCGCTTAAAGCTTGTGGTAGATTCTGATAGATCTACATATGTGAAATGGGCTTGGACCTTCAACTGAACTTCAAAACAAGGTAAGTAAGCTAGTATGTTTCAATCACAAGGTGCACCAGTGTGTAATCATTTGATATTTTGACTTTGCAATTTTTGCATACCTGCGCATAGCATGAGGTCCTGGCAATTTCTCACTTTGTGTTCCATATGTTGGTGGCGGAGCAGATGCACATTGGAAAAGACAACCTCGAGAACGTGATTGCCACGTGCTCAGGAGTGGCATGAATTGAACAAGCTGCCAGAGCACTACCTTCGTGTTGATTCTGACAGTATACATGAATATGTGGGCCTGCCAAGGCTTCACTGAAGCAAGCATCATGGCACAACTTAGTTTTGAGGTAGACGCAAGCAGGCTGGTGGAGTGAGGTTTCAGTGTATCGATTTATGCAAGATTGTTATTTCTCATGTGGCCTGAGGACATGCTCTTTTTTGGTTTGCCAGCAATCCTGTATGTGGTTTTCCTATACTTGTCGTATGATGTGGAATGGCTCCTTCTGCCGCTGAACAAATTTTGGGAAGAAGATCCTGAGTGGGCGCATAAGACATCATCCGAAATGGCTGCTGGGCTGCAAGTGTAATGCCTACTGTATCATGTCCATGTCCACCCAGTGGAGCTATCCTGAATGTTTGATAAAGGATAGCTTTGTTGGCGGTTTCACTACATCTTTGAAAGCCTTGCATTGTAAACCGTTGCCACTTTTACACATCTTCAGATCCCATGAGCTGAAAGAAGTAGAACTGAGCATCATTCAAAAGTGCAGAGCTGTGTCATGTTGCATCATGTCATCAACATTTGACGCTTTGACGTGCTTCCTTTGAATTCGGCTGATTTGCTTCATCTGCGCGGTCATAATATGCCAAGAGTGTGTGACTTACATGTCTTGGTTAGCTTTCTCTGATAGCCTCCCCGATGCCCAGCTCGTTTCAAGGCTTTTGTGCAAGAGTGGGTTGCCTCTTTAGCAGTCTTGCATGATCCGGTCAGCCTCCAGGCGAGAACATCATGGGAATCCCGTACCCGTTTGACGTCAATGGACACATTTTGCACTAACACTAGTATATTCTCGCAATGACGCAGACTTGTGACACAGCCACGCCTGCGCTAGGATGTGGCGGACTCGATCGCATTGCAATCCAAAGAACGCGCCTGGGCCGCTGAATAAGGTCGGATTTATTCACAGCACAGAAGGTACGTAGATTGGAGGCCATCGCTATTAGGTTGGAGGCCATCCCTATTGGGTTGGAGGCCATTGCTACTAGCTTGGAGGCAACTATGTTTTGTTTGCAAACAGTCACTTCCCAGCCACATCTCAGGACGTGATGAGGATAGGCTGCACCACAGCACTTCTTTTCTCCAGCGGCACTTCTCCAGTGCCATGGCTGCCATGGCTTGCATTTGTCTGGATTGCAAAAGGTCAGCCTACGTATCATAGCCTATCCGACCAAGATACTCAGGCTCTCGCTTGACTGCTTGGGAAGCTTGGACGAGCTTAGCAGAGTTGCAGTTTATCTTTTTCTTGCAACATGCAATGGTGATGCTGCTGCCATTTAGTGAAACGTTATGACATGTTATGACCCAGTGACGTCTGATCCGATTGCTTGTGCGTGAGTCATGAGCCACCTGCGCTGGGAGGTACCTGCCCAGAGACTGCAAAAACTCAAAGAGAGACTGCAGAGCCGAGAAATTGCACCAGCAGGACCTCCACCAAGGAGCGATACATGTCCTGCTGGGAACACTGATTTGCTTTGCTTAGCAAAGGCACGCACATGGTAGTAAGTAGTGATATTTATATAGTCTATTTAAAACATGTTGACACTATCAAGTTTAATTGAGAGACCAGTCGATGCTGTGGCGGATAAAGTCGAGTTGGGCAACTGCACAGGATTCTGCAACTAGGATTCCGCAACTATTTTGTCGGATTCAGCAACTGGGATTCCGAAACTCCGCAACACTTCGAGCAGCAACCACAGGCCACCCGAAGCATCCAAGCAAAAACAGGGGTGGGGGGTGGTGGGGTGGGGTGGGGGACAGTTCCCACAGCAACCTCAGGCCCGAAGTGCCCAACCGACAGTAAGCCACGTGCCTGGCCTTCCGCAACTGGGGCTTTGCAACCCCGTTGGGTTGCGCGATTGAGGGGGTCGAATTTCAGTTGCAGAGTCTGACTTTCCATTTTCAGAATACCAGTTTCATCATGTTTCATCCTGTTTCAGAAACCCAGTTTCAGAATTCTAGCTTCAGAATCCCATTTTCAGAATACCAGTGTCAGAAACCCAGTTTCAGAATCCAAGTTTCAGAATACCAGTTTCAGAACCCCAGTTTCAGAATTCTAGTTTCAGAACCCCAGTGTCAGAATACCAGTTTCAGAACCCCAGTGTCAGAATACCAGTTTCAGAATCCAAGTTTCAGAATACCAGTTTCAGAATCCAACCGATTAGTTTCCGAATCCGGCTCTAGCCATGCTGCGGCAGTCCATGCTATGAACAAATTGTTTAAATCTGACATGGAGCTGTTTGGCGCTGGCATTTCAAACCAGACAGAAGACGACAGACATAAAGATTTGACAATTTGACTTCCCGCATTGAGTGTGTGCAGTGTTAGATCTTACCAGCGGTTTGAAAGGAAATATTTTGTGGAACGCGCTTGGATCGCCCGGCTGATGACGAATGCTCAGCTTGTGGCACAGGATAGGAGACTTGACGAAAGATGCAGGGGCAATTATATAATCAATCACAAGAGTAAAACCGGAATTTGCACTTGCTGGTCACGCCCTGCAAGCCCAAGGAAGTGTAAATCATTTTATATTGCCTGGCTGGTTTGGATGATCCTCACGTCCCTCATATGCTTGGCAGCAGCAACTTGGCAGCTGAAACCTGGATTTGATTGATGCCCGAATCTCCAAATGCATGATACCAAGCAAGCAGGGCTGGTTGGAGCAGGTCGGACTGCTGATTATGCAGCTGAAGAATGATATTGAAGACATTATTAGTGGCCAACGAAGCTTGGAGCAACAGAGTTGCCACTCATTTGACAAACGTTGTTTATATTGCTTTATATTAAGGTAGATGTCTCGAATTAATAGCAGTTAAAACATTAATGGCTCCTGTTTAGAGAGCTACACGTGTCAGGAGAAGAATACGTTTGCATTGCCGTGATTGGAGCCAATGCCGGGTCTCGTATTCTTCTTTCGTCGCTGTCATTTTGGAATGTCCGGCGGGTTCTCGGGCTCCGAGAAGTGATGACAAAGCTGAGGTCATCATCATGATCATCGTGAGCTACTACTATGTGGTAGACTTGCTATTTCCATGAGTCTTCAGTGTGCGAAACTCGTGCTTGTACAATTTGCAACATGCGCTTATTTTGGCTAGGATATGCTAGGATATTTTTCCGGTTGTTCTCCCGGAAGCCATGCACGATCTACGTGCATGCTACATGAGTTTCACTGCACCACTGTGTGCATCCAACCTTTTTTGGCCCTTCTAACTGAATGGTCACCATGCTGTTGGACCAAAGATGACAACAGCATGTCTCTGACGTGCATTGGCTGCATTTTCGTGGCCTGATGCCTGATGGAGTGAAATGTGCGAGATGACTGTCGACGGTCGACGGAGGCATGAGATGTTCGTTGCGACCTTGACTTCGAGCCAAATCATTGCATGATGACAGGTCCTGCAGCTTTCAGCCGAAGAGAAGTATGCTGAATGGAAAAACTTGTTTGAATCTGCATGCGGTCCATCCTGCTTGTACTCAACCCCACTCACCAACTATCACTGCACTGTCGATGAGGATTGCCACACTATCAAAACCATCCCGTGGTTCAAATGCGCAGTTGTCTCTCTGATGCTTTGCGATTCACTCTCGCAACTATACAATATATATATATATAATATAAGGTACCAGAAGTTTGGACCTTCGAGAGCTTTCCGAGATTCTTCGCTTGTCCAAGAGTCTAGGAACATCTAAGAACTGAAGATAGCGAATAAACAACAGACGCTAATCGCTATCCAAAAGCTCACACCCGGGCGCCAATCTGTAGTTGCATCTTGTGCTGGGGGCCTCAGAAACTGGAATCAAGTGAAGTCGAAAGAGATATCGAAGAACTGGAATAGACTTGTCCTCCCAACATTTGTTTCGATGGACCTTATCCAAATGCGTTTGTAATCTTGCAAGCGAATTGCAATGGCTTAAAATGTTTTTGTCATTTCTTTTTTCCAAGCTGCATGGCACATTGCCTTGAAGTGTTTCTTTTATTCGACTCTTTTCCTATATGGAACACCCCTGATAGAATTCTGATGAATTCTGAGTTATTGAGTTTATTCAATGCTGCTTGGCTGGTGGGCACGAAGCCCCTACTTTTATAGAGTTGTCAGCGCACTGTCACATTCTCCTGAGTTGCCACGGGAATTTGCCACAAAATTGTCTCCCTATCTTACATTAGTCTTACATATCGTGCAAGAATTGAGGATGCACAGTTGCACGACAACCTTGCGGAATATGGTGCACTTGGTCTGGTTTGATCTGGTTTGCAAGTGTGGTAGAACAACAAGCGTCAACACCAAAAAGCATCAGTAGATTCGTGCTGGTCATAGTCATAGCCATGGACAGCGACTTCGTGAGCGAGTACCGGTCCCTTGCAGACCCCGGCGATGTGACGAGCTCAAAGAAGGTGGGCAGCTTGTTCTGTGAAAGCGTAGGCACTACATGTCACTAGCACAGCCAAGAACCAGGTCACATGATTTTACAAAGTTTACTTGTTCAAGAGCTCATCTGTTCGAGGGGGTGGAAAGAACATGTTAGCAGCCTAACAAAGGGCTGGCTGAATAATTAGGAGGCTGAAAAGGCCTCTCAGGTTGAAGAGGCGCAGCTCTTCAAGAAGATCTTGAAGACCAACACTGCACAGTTCAAAAGCGACACGGACAAGGCCGCAATTCGTTGTGCGTCGTGCAACGAGTACAGTCGTATAAAATGAAGCGAATCGACAAACGTGGATGAGTGTGGATTAGTAACAAGTGCATCGCTACTAGTAACAAGTGCATTAGTACTAGTTACTAGTAGCGAATAGCTACTAGAAGCTTCTTGCTAATAGTAGCAATGCCCTTGTTACTAGTAGCGGTGCACCTTGTTACTAGTAGCAATGGACTTGTTACTAGTAGCGATGCACTTGTTACTAGTAGCTTCTTGCTACCAGTAGAGTAATGCCCTTGTTACCAAGTAGCGATGCACCTGTTACTAGTAGTAGATAGTAGTAGCTTCTTGCTACTACTACTACTACTACTACTACTACCAGGAATGCCCTTGTTACTTGTAGCAGCTTCTTGCTACTACCAGCAATGCACTTATTACAGATGAATAACATTCAAAAACTGTGCACAGAGCGTCTTGCCTCCGTGCTGTCAGGCTTTGCGCCGGAGTGTGCAAGCCAAGAAGGACACCACTGCTTTCACTGCCACCATAGCTCACAATTTGTTGGTGTTGAATTTTTTGGTTAGCAATCTAGCATAGTTTTCCCGAATGCGTAGCGAAGGGTTCTGTTTGCCCGACGTTGTTTTCGAGTTCGCAACCGTCCGCAACCGTTTGCAACCGTCCGTATGATGTCTCTATGGCCCTGCCATTGGGGGAAGCTTTTGCAAGTGACTTTTCATGGATGTGTCACGTGTCAGTTTGCGCCGCTATTACATTGTGATTTGCATGAAAGTGACATGTCGCGCAAGAAACGTGATGCATTTCGCTGCACAGGCGCAGGGTTTCGTGAAAGTGACACGCTTGTGTCGGTATTCCATTGGGATTAGCGTTTGGAGAGTCGTGTTTTTGGGGTGTTGGATGTGGCCGTGCCATTGGGGTTTGCGTTTCAGGGTGTGGCATCGAAGCGCTGTTTTCGTGACAAGTCTCAGCTGAAATGGTGATTTTGGTGGATGATGGTGGATGGGAGTGCGCTCAGAACGGGCCGAAATCATTCCAAACGTGTGGTGTGGTGCAAATTTTGTTGAAGCTCACATGAGATGGTATTGTCACTTTTCGTGGCAGACGCAGTACTTTGTGCGGGTTTTGAGGTGTGGTAGTTACTAAGTGCGATTTTCGTGGCAGGCGCAGGGAATCGTGAGGTTGCGATGTGTGACGGAGGTGACATGTCGTGGCAGGCGCAGGGAATCGTGAGAGGTTGGACATTGGGATTGGCGTGTGAGCGGGTGTTGTTTGGAGGGGCTGGAATCGCGAAACTGCTTGGCAGGGCTGCGCGATGGGTGTGCTCCGATGGGCGTTTCCGCTTGACTTTGGGAGGAAGTCTCGTACGAAACGCTCGTTTTGCAGACTTTGACATGTGAGTTTTTGAGGAAGTCTCGTACGAAACGTTCGTTTTGGAGCCATGACGTGTGACTTTTGGAGGAAGTCTCGTACGAAGCGCTTTTTTTGGAGACTTGACGTGTGACTTTTGGAGGAAGTCTCGTACGAAACGCTCGTTTTGGAGACCTGACGTGTGACTTTTGGAGGATGTGTCGTAGGAAACGCTCGTTTTGGAGACTTGCTATAACGCGTGACTTTTGGAGGAAGTCTCGTACGAAACGCAGAGTGTCAAGCAAAGAGTGTCAAGAAAGAGTGTCGCGCAAGAGTGTCCAGCAAGAATGTCTAGCAAAGAGTGTCCAGCAAGAGTGTCCAGCAAACGTGTCAAGCAAGAGTGTCAAGATAGAGTGTCTAGCAAAGAGTGTGTCAAGAAAGAGTGTCAAGCAAGAGTGTCTAGCAAGAATGTCTAGCAAAGAGTGTCCAGCAAGAAATGTGTCGGGCAACAGTGTCTAGCAAAGAGTGCCAAGCAAGAGTGTCTAGCAAAGAGGGTCAAGATAGAGTGTCCAGCAAAGAGGGTCAAGAAAGAGTGTCAAGCAAGAGTGTCCAGCAAGAATGTCCAGCAAAGAGTGTCCAGCAAGAGTGCCAGAGTGTCTAGCAAAGAGTGTCCAGCAAGAGTGTCCAGCAAGAGGGCCCAGCAAACGTGTCAAGCAAGAGTGTCTAGCAAAGAGTGCCCAGCAAACGTGTCAAGCAAGAGTGTCTAGCAAAGAGGGTCAAGATAGAGTGTCTAACAAAGAGTGTCAAGCAAGAGTGTCCAGCAAGAATGTCTAGCAAAGAGTGTCCAGCAAGAGTGTCCCGCAAAGAGTGTCAGGCAAGAGTGTCAAG